CCCCCCCGTCTCCCAGGCCCCGCTGGGCTCTGGGGCGCTGCTGAAATGCCGGTTCAGCATTGGGGAGCAGATCGACCTGAGCTCCCTGCGGGTTCAGTGGCATTTCTCAGGGCGCCGGATACTGGAGTACCCCCCGGGGCAGGGGGATCCCCAGCCCGGAGCCAGCATCTCGGAGCAGGAGCTAAGGAATGGGAACGCCTCGCTGTCGCTGGCCAGAGTGACGCTGTTTGACCAGGGGCCGTATAAATGTGTCGTTGGGTACGGCGTGGAGGAGCTGCACAGTGAGACGATCCTCAGCGTGGCCGGTGAGGAGGCTGGCCCCTAAGAGACAGACGCTGGGCTGGTGGGTGTGATGGGCCAGGGTCCCTGTACCGCTACACTCCTCTCAGGGTGTGGGGTGTGAGAGGTGTGTGTGTGTGTGTGTGTGCCCCCTGTGCAGTGTTGTGTGAATGCTCACAAACAAGGGCAAGGGGCAGTGTTGGTGAGGATGTGTATGAGTCAAACTTCTTGCTCCTCTGTAACTTCCAGCGGCTCCGAGAATCTCCATCCCCCGGCAATTGGCCAGGACAGACACTGAGAGCTTTTTCCTGTGCCACGTGTGGGGATTCTACCCCGGGGACGTCACCGTCACGTTGCTGAGAGATGGGCGGGTTCTGACCCACTCCACCTGCTCTGCCCCCCAGAGGAACCCAGACGGGACATTTAACCTCACCCTGACCTACACCTTCACCCCCAGCGCGAGCGACTCCGGCAGCATCTTCTCCTGTCACGTCAGCCACGTGGCTCTGGCCCAGCCCCTGCGGGAGGAGTTCCCCCTGGCTGTCACAGGTGAGTCTGGGCTGGGGGGACTGGAGCATAGAGACACAGGGACCCCTGTGACGGTGCACCCCATAATGCTTTATAGAAATATGCTTATGAGTGTAAATATGACAGAACTGGAAAATGTTTTATGCTACATATGCCATGTAACATATCTCTGCAAAGGTTATGAACTACTGGATATATTCATCCTGTTTATGTGCATGTATCATTTTTGTATTCGAAGTTATGAATATTGGCCGTGTACTTGTTTGATTTTAAGTAGCCTCAGTGAAGCAGTTGGTCAGCTTCTTGAAAAAAGACTATTTTCAGTAAGTGCCCGATCAAGAAACATAAGCTAACAATGAACTTTGAGAGACGCCAGTCCACATCTGAACTTTCCCAGGAATGTGGCCTGGCTTGTAAGGAACTGAGTCATGCATGGACATGTGACTTGACCATGTGACTCCAAAACTCCATCTTGTAGCTGGATTTCTACATGGGGGAGGGAGGGGTGTCCACCCACAAGAGAGGAACTATATAAAGTCCTGGGAGACCCCTCCATTTTGTCTTTAGCTGGCTCAAGAGGTAGCCTCTCCACCCCAAAGGATACCTGAAAGAAACTGGAACAAAGGATAGTAACCAAAGGGGGGGTGAGTGATTGCTGGACCCGGACTAGAAGGAGACTAGTCTGTAAAAGAAGCTACTGGAACATCTCTGAGGGTGAGATTTTATCTGTAATCACTTTCTTACTGTATTAGGCTTAGACTTGTGTGTTTTATTTTATTTTGCTTGGTAATTCACTTTATTCTGTCTGTTATTACTTGGAACCACTTAAATCCTACTTTTTGTATTTAATAAAATTACTTTTTACTTATTAATTAACCCAGAGTATGTATTAATACTTGGGGGGGGGCAAATAGCTGTGCATATCTCTCTATCAGTTATAGAGGGCGAATAATTTATGAGTTTACCCTGTATAAGCTTTATATGGGGTAAAATGGATTTATTTGGGGTTTGGACCCCTTTGGGAGCTGGGTATCTGAGTGCTGGAGACAGGAGCACTTCTTAAGCCTGCAGCTTTTGGGGGACGTGGTTCAGACCTGGGTCTGGGTTGCAGCAGGCTAGCGTGTCTGGCTCAAACCAGGCAGGGCACTGAAGTCCCAAGCTGGCAGGTAAAACGGGCTCAGAGGTAGTCTCAGCACATCAGGTGGCAGTTCCCAAGGGGGTCTCTGTGATCCAACCCGTCACAGTGAGCAGGGTCTGTGCACAGCTGATTGCTTTGAGATACTAGTAGTGATTTTAAGTGAGTTTTGGGTGTGGTGGCTGGAGAACAGACAAAGTGGTTACTGGTTTGTTATTTTCTATTTGCTTATTTCGGGCAAGGGAAGTAGGGACAGAAGAGGAAGCAAAATAAGTAAGAGTGAAGATCAGAAGAAGCTAGAACTGCACAGGTTGCAAACTGCCCAGAAAGGCTGAACACTGGGTGCTGGGAAAGTCTCTGTTAATTAAGAAGCCCCTGAGCTGAGTGCATCTCAGTTTCAATGAACTGCAGAGGGGTGTGGCCCAGCACAAGAAAGCAGGAAAATGACCTCCAGAGAGGCAGCTACTAAACTAGAGAAGCAGGTGGAAGCAGAAGAGAAGGCAAAGGACCAGGAGTTTCAATTGAAGCTCAAAGAAGCAGAGGCAACTGCGCACAGAAGGGCTATTGGAGCAGAGGCAGCCAGGGACAAAAGAGCCTGGAGTTAAGAGACCGAGAAATACAGGCCCAGATTGAGGCTCAGAAGCATGAACTGACTGTAATGGAGGGAAAGAGGCAAAACCCTCCAGCTGCTGGCTCCACTTCCCCAAAAATCCACAAATGGGAGCGACTATGTCCACAGTATGATGAATCCAGCGACCTTGATCACCTTTGAGAGACTGTGCGCCCTCCATGCTACCCCTGAAGATCAAAAGATGACCCCATTGGTAGCAAAATTGACTGGCCTGGCTCTGGACATAGTCAATAAGCATTGACGATGCTTCAAACTATGGTAAATTTAAGGAACTTGTTTTGAAACAGTTTCAGATTACACCTGAAACCTACAGGGTTAAACTCAGGAGTCTGAAGAAGGGATCTGGACTGAGTAATGTGGCTTATGTAAATGAAATGAGAGATTTGTTAGGTAAGTGGGTGAGGGGAAAAGGCATTACAAGCTTGGAAGGAATGTGTGATTTGGTTACTCAGGAACAATTATTGAATATGTGCCGTGATGATGTAAGCTGTATTTGTGCGACAAAAAGGTGGATGCAGTGGGGGAATTAGCTGGATTTGCAGACTCTTATGAGCAATCACAAGCTACAATTAAACAAACCAGTGGCAGAGGGGTACAGGGTGGGGGGTGGGAAGCAGAATCACCATTTTACCCCTGGGAAAAAGGAGGCTGGGCGTTCATCTCCCCATTCCCCTGCTGCTCATCCCAGATCTCCTGTACAAGCAGAGGAGCCCAAGAGGTGCTATCATTATAAGTCCACTGAGCACCTGAGGAATAAGTGTCACTTGCTGAGTGGGAACAGCACCAGGTAACACATGAAACTGCTGCTTCTCAGAGCCAGGCTGTGGCCTCTTTCCATACAGACAACAAGGAGTCTGGTGGCACCTTAAAGACTAACAGATTTATTTGGGCATAAGCTTTCGTGGGTAAAAACCTCACTTCTTCGGATGCATAGAGTGAAAGTTACAGATGCAGGCATTATATACTGACACATGGAGAGCAGGGAGTTACTTCGCAAGTGGAGAACCAGTGTTGACAGGGCCAATTCTAGGGTTACCATATTTCCACAAACAAAAAAGAGGACACTGGGGGGGGGGAAGCCCCGCCCTAGCCCCGCCCCGTCCATTCCCTCCCACTTCCCACCCCCTGACTGCT